AAACAGTAAATAAAGTAATAAACAATACCAGAATTGTTCACGAAGAAACCCAACGTGGAAAAAATTTCGAGCACTTTGTCAGTCAAAAATTCACTATAAACTGTCAATATAACTTACAGACTACCAGCAAAGTTGACAACATAAGCTTTCTGATCTCCTATCTGAAGTATGAAGTAGCCCTTCTGAAATGTGCACACCAACACCAATCCTGGCTCTGCTTTGTAAAGCAGTCCTCCTGGAATGAGCACACGAACTCCAATGTTGACTCTTTACGCAGTTTATCTCCTCTAGATCTTCCCCAATAACTCCTCATTCTTCAAACTCTTCCTTGATCTTTAATGCAACACAGTTGACGACACAATCTTGCAGCAGATCCAAGCGAAGAGACCAATTCAGTGTTTGATTTGATAGTTTTGATGTTTTCAATGAAAGAGGCACATATGAATTGAAGGATTGAACTTTGTATCTTGTGTATGATGTATTCTTCTTGAATATTATGTTGTTCAATCTCACTTTCAGAAAATACGGCGCCTTCAATATATAGGTTGGACGAATTAGGTTGTATGGGCCAAGTAAAAAACTCGAAAATAGAAAATTAGGTTTCCCAGTATAATACGTCCCTCGAGCGAGAGGACTTCTTCGCTCGAGCGAAGGGTCTGTCGCTCGAGCGACAGTGGGGCGAACATCGAGCGAGGTAGTTTCTGCTTCAGTCGCTCGAGCAACACTCCGGCGTGAATTCTTCTTGTTCTAAACATATAACCTCAAATCCTAAGTTAATCTACCAACTATGAAACTTTACAACTTAGTTCCTAAACTTTCATAAATGTTCAAGTTGGTCAATTTGTTCACGGAATCGCCAATATAAAGTATAAATCTAACACAAACAAATACTGCTAACACAGCACTTGAAAAATTCTGTAAGGTCTTTTTCTATACTTAATAGTTTTTTCCTGTTATAAAAGGATACACGCATACATATGTGTTGAACTATTAACGAACTTTTGCTCCAGTGCAAATTAAAAACATATACGATGATGTCTCTTGCAGCTAATTCAAATTAGTCTCTCTGCCAATTGGATGTGAAGAGTGATTTCCTCAATGCGAGAACCTGAGAAAGAAGTATGCCTTTGGAATAAATAATATCAGTGTTTTAAAAAGTGTGGTTAGACGTGAAGGTCAAGTTTTAAGTTAGGCGAGACCTAAACGTAAAAACGCGTTATTTATTTTTATTATTGTTCATTTTAATTAAAATAATACATACCAAACATCTAAATATAAATTACTATAATTACATAATAATTCCTATAATCAATCAATTATACAATTTTCAAATTTTCGAAATGCAAAAGTTTAATTATCTTTTATGATTTCAACTTTCAACTAGACAAATCCTACTTGACAATTTTATAGGAAATTCATACATATTTTCAAAATTTTCAACAAAACGATAAGTCTCAAAATCATAATTAAATAATATAGATAGCATCGTAACTTAAATTTTATCTAAATATCTATTGATATATTTTTCACTTTCGAACGGCTAAAGTTATTTAAAGATTTGAAATTAAAATCAAATAAAAGTCTTTTAAAAAAAGGAGAAAAAAACAATATAAAGTCAAATAAAATATTTTTTTTTTTAAAAGGGAAAAAATTTAACAAAGCACTTAGGTACGCATTAAGCGGTCACTTAATTCGCACTTACTGTCAGAAAAAGCATTTTGCTCGCGTTCTGCACTTTTTAGTATACTGAATAAGATGTGTTAAATTGAGTATTGAATATGCTGACTTTTAATCCAATTGAGTATTGAAAGTCATGTAGTTACGATGTAAGTAATAAAGGGATCATTCACCCCTAACCATTAAATTCTAGGGTTTTCTATCATGTGTGGGTTCAAGGTCTAGTATAATAAAATAAAACAAAGGTCTTTCACTCAAATTCCCAAAAACCCTAATACATATTAAGAGTTGAATCTCGGGTTCGGTTGGGGTAGAATACATGAACTAAACTAGACTTTAGTCAAGAATGATGAAAAATCTCGTGTTATTTTTCATTATTTTTTTCACTAGCTGATCTA